AATTTAGTGATAATTTCTTACATGTCTTAATTAAAAATTAAATATTAAAAAGTACATTTTTTGTATTATTTTCCATACTTTGTGTAAGTGAATTTCAAATTGGAATTTTCAAACTGAACAGAACATTATTCGTGCACGTTAAACGGTTAGGTTAGGTTAAAGACCCCAGGAATTCAAATGTACCGATCTCACATTTGTAACTACTGACCAGAGGGGATCTGCCCCAGCTGTCTTTAATTTAACAATGAAAGACTATAGGGAAGGCAGCTAGTCATCACCACCCACCGCCAACTCTTGGGCTACTTTTTTACCAACGAATAGTAGGATTTACCGTCACATAATAACGCCCTCACGGCTGATTGCGAGTCGAGCTCCCTAACCACCTGGCCATGCCTGGCCGACCAGAGGGCAGGCATCCAGCCAAGTAGAAGCAATTTTACTACATGAGATTTGTCCGGCTCTATAATTCGATAATGGAATTGATTTTCATTTTTATAACGCACACACAGCTGAAAGTGCGGATCTGTTCAGTGACTTCACGATTCAAACTCTGGACCCTACGATCCTCAGCCCGACACGCTATCAATTGAGAATGACGAGACTCCATTTGAACTTGTCATGGTAGACCAACACAGGATTTTAACCACAAACTTTCCACTTTACGCGTGAAGACATATCCAATACAGAGGTTACAAAAATCACGTGATCGTCACAGATTCGTGCAGTAAATTGCGTCGTTTTGTCTCCTTGAATCGTCAGGGATCTAAACTGTTTACCAGTTATTAGTTCTCTCAGGCGTTTACATTAACAACGTTATATAAAACAGGGAAGACTGATAAAATTAAACACCTCACCCTTAGCTGACCCATTACGGTTTCTTGCCTAAGAAGAATGCATAATAAGCCATTACCACCAGAGTTAGAGAATTTAAAGTCCTTTAACCCCCTATGACGTTGTTCGTTGCAGGACCCCTAATTCTAACAGAACGAGTCACACACACACACAAGGTTTGCCCCCTATGACGTTGTTCGTTGCAGGACCCCTAATTCTAACAGAACGAGTCACATACACACACAAGGTTTGTTTGTTTTTTAATTATGCACAAAGCTACACAAGGGCTATCTGTGCTCTGCCCACCACGGGTATCGAAACCCGGTTTCTAGCGTTGTAAGTCCGCAGACATACCACTGTGCCACTGGGGGGCACACACACAAGGTAAACATATACAATAAAAACTTGTCTCAAAAATACTTTAAAATAGCCATGACGCGTAATAAACTCACCAAAAAGTTTCATCATCTTTCGACAACACCCACAAAAACACACATCACCCAGAAATCTCGGGTGTTTTGGGGTCCTCTTTGATGCACCATATAGTAACTTAAATTAATTTAGGTGTGTGAATAATATTATGACGTTGCGCCTAATTTACTGTTTAATATTATGCAGCGGACCAACTGTTTACAAGTTTCTTTTCTTTTCACCAAAAGTAACGTTGAAAATGTAATCTGTGACGTAGAGGCCCTGTTGCTGTGCTGATGAGTCTTGAATAAACGAAACTACAGTCCACATCAGACCGCGCGGCGAATCAAGGAATACGCTAGGCATCTACGTTACATATTATTGTTTCA